GGGCGTCAAAGTCATCTTTATTACTCATCAACTTGTACAATGGAGGAAATATTACATGGCCATTTGATGACATAATTCTGATTACATCGTATTCGCCGACCTATTGATCTGTCTAAAAGTGAATCTTTTAGACCGAGAAACATGATTGATATCTCTTATATAAATACCGTGATTCACCTCTTGCAAACTAGATCTTCGCTTAACCTGCAAAGGTCTATAAAGAAACACAACATTCTCATAACCCAATCTTGCTAAGGTTGTAACAGCCATCCTCAATGCTTCAGCTTCTGCTTCCATTGTACTTGAAAGTGGTTTGATTGCTCCCGAGCCCTGAAGTAAGACCTTCTCCTGCTTATCCACAAGAGCCCATCCTATTCCAGCTGCTTGATGTTGGGAGCTCCATGAGGCATCTACAAAGCAACATAGATGCTCTGCCTGTTGAACCACTTGTTGGACTGTTTTTGGGACCATAACATTATTGTGTACCTGCGAAAAAGGTTCTGAATTAACTTGATTTCTCATCTGATCAGCCTCCATCCAAGACCTTAAATCCAACAAAGCACCACTAACAATCTCAGGAACTCTTCTCCTATATCCCTTAAAGATAATCTCATTCCTATATTTTCCAAATTCTCCATGACAAATAATGAAAGAGTTGAGTTTGATCAGGAATTCCGTCATTAAGTTTCCTAAAACTCTCATAATTGTCATGAAGACTGCTAGAGAAGAGATGACTATCTTCTGGCTTATTAACAGGAGCAAGCTCCCAAACCTCCCTACTCAATTTACAAGTAAAGAGAAGATGGTTAATACTTTCCTCTTCCTCTCCACACATTGGACATATGCCATCTCTCAAAATATTCWTCTGCCTCAAYTTATTACCAACAGRCAAMGAATCATKTAAAACTTTCCACCAAAAATGCTTAATCTTAGGAGCTACATTCACTTTCCAGATACTCTTAAATAAATCAGTTGGAGTATTAGAACATTGACCTTTTTGAGATCTCAGAAAATTGTAACCTGACTTCACCGTATAAACTTTAGTCTTTGTGTGCAACCAAATTAAAGTAAGAATCTCATTTTCCTTTTCCTCCTCCACCTTATCCTCACAAGGTTTGCACAAGCACACATCCCCACATCCATATGTGGATTTGTGGACGAGTCCCTGAAACATAGGCGAAACATCTCATTAAACTTGGAAAAACGATTCAAGAGATGCTTTTAAAGGGTTTGTTTCATACTTGCAAGACAAGAGTTTTCAGATTTGGAGAATTTTTTTAGCAGACCCGGCAATGATTGCCATCCTACTTTCGGGTTACTCTCGATACTTAAATGGGTCAAGTTAATGAATAGCGGTATTGCTTCACAACAGTAAGTAAGTACCTGAAACAAAACCATATCAACTAGATCATTTGTAAGCATTATAACTCAAATCCTTAGAGCAGTGTTAAAAAGACTAAAACGATATTAAGAAAAGATCATGGAAGTAATGAAATACAAACCTCAAGAGTATTGGAAGATAGATAAAGGGTCTTCACATTGCACATTCCCAACATAAAATCTGTTGCATTACCGATCATGCCGTATTCCTCACTACATTCAGAAAAGCAAATCAAGATTCACTTTCGGATACTCGTGCGCCGTAGTGCCGGTAAATTCCAAGTAGACGAGATTTGGAGTATCAAGGGACACATTCATTGGGTTCCAACCACGATCTCCCCACCAAACCGTTAGTCTCTTGAGAGTTGTGACAGAGACAGAGGCAAACTCCCATATCGACCAACACATACCATCAAGCATGACACAACCGGCAAGAAGCTTGGTAAACCCAATACCATTATTTTCAAAATGGACTGAGCCAATATAAAGAGTCTTAAGCTTTGGAAGATAGACATCTTCAAATTCAATTTTGACGCCGGATAGTTTCAGCCTAACCAGTGTCTCCGTCGAGAAGAATTGAGTCACTCTTGGTTATAGTTAAAGATCTTTTAGCAACTGTACAAGAAAAATGTCTTTAAAACTATAAAAGAACCGATCAAGATAGACTTGGTTCGAGTTTAAATCTTTTCGTAACTGTACAAAACTTTTAGACGCATACATGGGCTTCGAAAAAAATCAGAGAGCTATGAGTAATTCAAAACAGAGAGACCTGAGAAACGAGAAAAAGTTCTGCTAAAGAAGAGGAACCCATTTCGCCGATACGGAAGATGGCATAGTAGATGATACGCTGAGGTCACCAGGGACAAGTTTAACGTTGCACTTTGGTGAAGCTACTCTAGTAAGCATCTGAAGTTGGGTTGACGCTTCCACGTCTTCGTCAAAGGATGAATCATAGTATAAAACCAGTTGTTTAAGATGTGGCATTGTCTCCAAAAAGTACTTGACCTGTTCTATTTGCTTCTCCATTTTGCCATCATTCATTAATATCTTTAACACCTTCACAGGACTTGATGACAGGCAACTAGGAACCTCCTTTTCCTTACGAGGTTTGCACAAACACGCATCTCCACATTTATCCGTAGCTCTGTGAAGCAGTCCCTGATGCAAAAGAGTAAAGGTTTCAAAATTTAGTTGCATTAACAATTGTGCACTTGTTATATGATGCTTTAAAGGGTGATCTGTTTCATACTTGAAAGACGAGAGTTTCAAGTTCTGGACAGTTCTTGAGCAGCCCTGATAACGATTCCCATCCATATTCTACCTTACTCTGGATAGTCAAATGAGTCACGTTGCTGAATATCGGTATTGCTTCACAGTACAACGTTAGTACCTGAAACAAACGCATAAGATTATCAACTCAATTGCAATCATTACTCAAAGTAGCATAGAAACAAAAGAGATCAGGAGAAAGATGAGACTGGACTACAAACCTCGAGAGTGCTGGCAGATAAGCAGAGGATCCGAGCATTGGAAATTCCCATTATAAAATCTGTAGCATTACCAACTAAGTTTTCATTGTTACCACGAGGAATTCGGTCCTCTAATTCTGAATCACTTGACTCGTCTGGCCGATCACGTGTCATCTGAAGATCGATTCTGGCTTCAACAAGCGAACGAAAATTCAGTTTCGGATACTTGTTCGCGATGACATCAGTATATACCAAGTAGACCATATTCGGAGTATCAAACGACCAACTTTTTGCAATGTTATCGTGAAGACAGTTGGCATACGTGCAATCAACCGTTAGTGTCTTGAGTGTGGTGACAGAAACAGAACAAGAATCCCATAAACACGACCATATACTATTCAGAACTAGTTCCTCGAGCACATGACAACCAGAAAGAAGCTTGCTAAACCCAATATCGTTCGCTTTGAACTTAACCCACTCGAGACAGAGAGTCTTAAGCTTTGGTAAACGAACATCTCCCACATCAATGACAGGTCCCTTACTATGTCTAATACATATTCTCAGCTTAACCAGAGTCTCGCTCAAGAAGATCCTCGAAGGAAGCGAAGTCTTCCATTTCAAATCCATGACTAGATGAAAATCCGATACACGACGCGCCAACACATTCTGTATCCAAGGAGCTAGACAATGTGTTTCCACTGGATCACGACGATCAACAATCTTTAGAACAAACTTGTCTATAGGATTATCCCCTTGCAAATCCAAGATCCTAGTCACGAAATCCTGAAAATTTCTACAATGTTTCTTCCTTTTATTGTTGACAAAAACAGCGACACACGGAGGTAAACGGAGCTTGGTTACAATCCTTTCCTCAGGATAAAGATAGACCGAGTCGTCGAATTCGAGGTTAGGAACAAAAGCAAGTAGATAACGCCATCTTTTCGAGAGGATTGAAAATGAAGCTGCTTCTTTTGTTGGAAGGAACGACAAGATGTGGCAAAGAAGTGAGTCTGGCAAAACGTTGATCAAATCTCTAGAACAAGATTCCATCTTTTTGTTTTCTGAATCCATGGTCAAAGATCGATACTTTACACCTGAGTAAAGAAGATGAAATCCATCGAGTGAAAAAAGATTCAAGCTTTCAATGTTCGCAATCACAAATCGGTCATTAAGATTCACAATCGAAAGAAAACAATAAGAATCATACACGAACGAAGAAAAAAAAGCAAAACTTTTTGATTGAGAGAAGAAACCAAAAAGCGAATACTACCTCGCAAAGATGAGAAGAAGGATTAATGGAAACTCGCTTGTGTTCTAAAAGCGAATCCCACAAAAATCGTTCGGCTCTTGAGAATTTTGAACCATTAGAGTCAGAGATTCAGAGACGCGAGCGAGATTGAAATTTAGGGCTTTTCGAGAGAGATCCGAG